AATTGCGCATGGTCTAAAACATAAAATAAATCCATCAGAAATCAAATTTTATGAATGGTGTACGAGCTTTGTCAAAAATAAATGCACCTTACTCTTGAGCAAGAATAATTTCTTTGACAAACCTCGTATACGACTAATAAAATTTGATATCTGATGGTTATATTTTAGGTTTTAGACCATGCACAATTTTTTATATGCAATAAATGTTTTCCTTCAATTCATAATAAAAAAGTTTTCCATAGATAGCCAACTTACGTAGACTCACACTGTATATGGCTTCGAACATTTATTTTTCTATTTACTTTATTTATTAGATCACCTTTGTACATATCTGGAAGAAACAAATAGAAACTTAAATATTAACAGACACGTTTTTGTAGGCGATATTAATATAAATATCAAAAAAAATTCAGATTTGGTATCAAATTACTTAGATAATTTTGCGGAATTCAACTTTGTATCACTAATTAATTAATAAATATACTCGAATACAGGGTAATTCAAAAAGTTGTATAGACAACATATTTTTTCAAACAAATAATTACAACGATATTAAGAATTGTAGAGCGGTTATTTATGATACTAGAATTACCGATCATCGAGCTACATTTGCATATTTTCCTTTATACACGGAAAAAATAGAGAAACATAAAATTTTAAAGCGTATTAATTATAAACAATTAAATTTAGATTGTAAAAACTTTGATTGGTCATTGTTTTATAACTTAACTGATATAAATGCAAAATGTAACTATTTTTCAGAAACTATTGATGAACTTATTCAGAAAAATTCCTACATAATTAATCAAAAACAGTTTTTAAAAAAACGAAAAGAATGGATAACTCAAGGTATAGTAAATTCAATCAGTGAAAGAAATAGGCTACATAAAGAACATAAAGATGATTTTGAAAACCTATCAAAAAAATTAAGATATATAGAATATAGAACCTTGACCAATCAACTAATAAAAAAATCTAAAAAAGATTACTACACAAAAAAAATTGAAGAAAACCAATTTAGTTCAAAGGGATTGTTGAACGTAATAAATCAGTTACAGGGAAAGAATTCCAATGAGAAAAAGAAATAACAGAAATACAAACACAAAAAAAGAAAATTGAAACAAAACCAGAAAAAATAGCTGAAGAGTTTAATGATTATTTTTCAGAGGTGGGTAAAAACCTAGCAGAACAAATCGTGACTCCAAATACACCTTTTCCTGTTCAAAATATTACGCAAAACTCATTTTTTTTGAGACATACAACAGAGGAAGAAATAAAAAAATATATTAAATCCTCAAAAAATAAAAAATCCCCAGGTTTCGATGGGGTGCAAGCAGAAACAGTAAAAGAAATATTACCAGGTATATTACCGGTGTTAACGCACTTAATCAATCGGATTTTTATCGAAGGTCATATCCCTGATAATTTTAAAAAAACGATAGTTGTTCCAATTCATAAAAATGGTGACAAAAAAAACGTAGCAAATTATCGCCCGATCTCGTTAATAACAACATTTACAAAAATTTTCGAAAAAACTCTAAATAGTAGATTAATGGATTATTTAAATAAATATAAAATAATGGCTTCCGTGAAGACTTATCTACCAATGATGCTATTGCTAAATTAACAAGCGAACTTTATAAATCTGTTGATTCTAAAAAGCCAACACTTTGTGTATTCTTAGACCTTGCCAAGGCCTTTGACACTGTGGATCATACACAATTGTTTACGGTCTTGGAAAACACAGGGATTCGTGGTACTCCCCTGAAACTTTTTAAAAATTATTTATCAGGCAGAGAGCAAATTGTTAAAATTGGAACAGCGTATAGCAATTCTAGAACTTTAACCTACGGTGTACCCCAAGGAACCGTATTAGGACCAACCCTTTTTTCGCTATATCTAATTTATTCAATGTACAAAGTAATGGTCATATAATTAGTTTTGCAGATGATACGGCCATATTATATGAAGCTGAAAATTGGGATGATCTAAAACAAAAAACTGAATATGGCCTTGCAAAAATAATTGAATGGTTTAGTCATAGGTATCTGACCATTAATTTTTCAAAAACTTTTTTTATGCCCTTTACTAGTTATGAAAATAATCTCCCTGTCTACGATGTCATAAATATAAACTCTAATTACCAACAAATATCAATACATATTACTGGCAGCATGAAGTATCTAGGCATCACACTGGATTGTCACCTGCGATGGGATAAGCACATTAATAATGTAACAAATAATCTAAGAACACTTTTATTTAAATTTAATTACCTGAAAAAACTGTTAAATATATCTCATCTCAGACTATTATACTATACCTTAGTTCAAAGTCGCATTCAATATGCCATCTTATCGTGGGGCGCTACAACAAAGAATCACACAAACAAATTAGAAATACTACAAAAGAAAATATTAAAAATTATACACAATAAAAAAACTCGATATCCGTCGGATGCCCTTTTCTCTGAAATAAATATATTTGATATCAAACAGTTATATGTTTACACATCACTTATGTACACTTATAAAAATAAAAACATTTTAAAAAAAATTAATCATAAATATAACACCAGAATTAAACAACAAGGTCATGTGCAAACTTACTTGGCAAATAAATCAATTGGACAAAGACATTTTAATTTCTTAATAAGTAAAATTTACAACTTTATTCCAGATATGTACAAATTGTATTTATTGACGATAAACTCAAAACATTTATTCAAGCAAATTATCAAAAAATTTTTATTAAATACTCAATTAACTTTAATTCATGCAATTTTTGAGTGATTAGTAGTCGGATCTGAAATTGCGAAGCGATATAATACAAATATATTTAACAATCTTACACATTTAAGCTCTATTAAAAATATTTTATATATAATGTAATTATAATTTTTTTTAAGTGTGCACATCTGTTTTAAAATTTGTCATTTATTATTGTAATTTTATTATGATATAAAGCAGTCGAATACGCGCATCCTACAAGGACATAAATGGGTTTATTCGACTCCTTTAATATCAATATAATGAAAAAAATATTCAAAATACAAAAATATGTAATATTTTTATTTTTTAAATGAATAAACATTATTATTATTATTAGTTTCCAAAATAAAGATTAGAATATCAATTTATGCCGCTAAGAAGGAAAGTATATGTTTGAATGGTTTTGAGAAGGTAAAAAATTTAAATAACTCTTTTTACTTTAATTTAAATGAAACTATGGATTTTGCAAAATATAAATAGTATATATTTCTAACATACATATTATATTATTATAAAATATGGCGTGGTCCTTTCTAACAGCTACCTTAAGTCCCCACTACAAGTCTTATTATTTCAGGTATAACAAGCGCATTGAAATAAAAATCTTTCAATTTTGGGAGCATCTCACATTTCCAAAACCTGCCGTTGCGTTCACTTTCTTCAACGTGGATTATACCAATTGGGGACCATACAACAAAAGAATATTAATTCCTTCCTGTAATGGGTAACTGTCCCTGAATTTGGAAATAGTAGGAATGCTTCCGTTTTAGAAACAATAATTTATTAATTTTAGTTGAACTCCTTCAATTGACGCATTTCTTAAAGAAGTAGGACATTTCACTCCTACAATAAAATCATCTTTCACCAGGCTATCGGGGCTAGCTCCTAAAAATAAATTAAATTCATCCCCTACGTGAATACCATAGTGAGAGACCCTTAACACTGCCAAGCATTCAAAACTTTTTTAATTGTGGTGGATTCATTTTCTTGACCGTACCTTGTGGATTTGTTACCTAACGAACCATGTTTTAGGCAACAGCACTATGGTCTGTAGTTTTTAAATTTGCGTATTCCCACAAATTGGGATGTAGTTGCCTTTTCTTGGTGCCACAATGAATTATAATATTGCCCCCTCTTGTGGTTATTTCAATTTTAATTATTCTTTCTTTTGATTTATTTAATAATTACCATAGTTTAGCTCTTCTACCTTGTTGCTCTTCTTCGTTGAATATTTCCACAACTGCTCCATACTCTTCATCAGCAGGTGCATGGCTAAATTATGGTCTGTAGAATCTCTTTGCTTTCGCCATCTTCATTCTGTTACGCTTCAGTTTTCGTCTGACAACAAATTGTTTTGTATATTTTCCGGTGTCGTTTTCAAGCCTTTGTAAATAGTCGTCTTTCGAATTAAAAGAAAGGAAGGTTAATCTTAAAAGAGTGAAAAATTAAACGTGATGAACGTTTGTACTACCGTATAATTTTTGGGGTTCAAATGCAGCATGATTAATATAGAACTAAATTCTTCTAACTGCCACTGGCCGTTTCCTATCGACGCGCTATCTGCACAAGAAAGTAGGTACCTCAGGGGGTGGTCTCATATACATTTGGTCAGGATCTAATGATGAGATCTATGAGAAAATCACCAAACACAATTTGTGATGACATCTGCACGATTTTGGAGTCGGTTTTTTAAAATTGCTTTTATAACTTGTATAATTATATTATCAATAAAATTTTGTCATTTTGTTTAATGCCCTTTGAGTTTGTTAATTTTAGATGTACTGACTATTAAAAACTGAACTAGAAATAATTATTCTCAATATGTTAAAACATATACCTACTAGTACATTAAAAGGACATTAGGGGGTTTGGAGTAGTAAATCTCTTGATTTCATATTCTATGCTCAACTGAATCGTAGTATTAGGAACTACCTGATTTTTTGGCCTGACATATTACGACTTTAATGCCCTGTATCTCAGAAACGAAGCAACTTTGGACATATGTTTATAAGAACTTTTTTCCATAAAACGACCTAGGCAACCACCCTCTCAAGTTTCGTACTGTAATCAGGAAACGCCCTATTTAAAAAAGGTCTTGATAATTATATACATTTTTTATGTATATTTATTTTATACCACACAGATTCTGTTAAAAATCCTTAAAATTCAGAAAAATTCTGCTCAAAACTTTTAATTTACTCAGTTTTTGATTTTTTATATTGTTTATAGAAAAATGCTAGCTGTGCAGATGGGCCATTGGGTATAAGTATAACGAAAGAATCATTGAACATTCAGATTGGTGGGAAAAAATGGGACCACAATTTGAACGAATTCATTGAATCAAGTATTCAAGAAGCTATTGAATGTAAGTCAAAGTTACATTACTCGGAAAAGTTACATTATTTAAAAATACAGGGTATTTCAAAATTAGAGGTAAATATTTTAAAAGCGTATTGTACTGGAGAAAATAAGGCAGACAGATAATGATTCTGTGGTGCCATAACAGTATTATAGACTACTACTAACTATAACACATCGTCTAATATGGCCCTGTTTTGGACCAAATTCAAATGATGATTTTCCTTGAAGTGTTAAAAGTACCTAATTATAAAAAATTAAAATATAAACAACTCTAATCCTGACAACTTCAATTGCCACAGAGTGCAGGGCACTACATATACTTTAAACTTTACAAGAAATATAAAACATATATTCTTTTAGCAAATCCAGAAAATAAGCCAGATATTGTGGAACCTACCCCAGAAATTGACCCCCCAGAAACCGATGTTAAAAATGTAACCCTCGAAGAGACAGACCCAAAACATATTATTAAGCAATTGGAAACTATTTCAAGTGAATTACAAAATATACGAAATGTTTGTCAACAGTCTGAGTGTGTGTCAGCAAGGTACTTATTTTCTAGATTGGTTAATTGTTTACTTAAATCTAATCGGATCATTTTTAGCAGTGTGGGAAACCTCAACAACGGTGATATTTGTAATAGAATAGTAGGAATAAGTAAACCTCAATTGTGTGATGCTTCGGAAGACAATACAGGTGCTAACAAAAATATACCGAGAAACTGTAAAGAAGTTCAAGAAAGAGGTAAGTATATAGGTTTTTATTACTAAGAGTGATCCACGAAGAACGTTTCTATAACGAGGCTATAACGAGTAAAGACATATATACGCGTCACGTCCTTAATAAGTTCGTATGCTTCTGAATTAAATCCAAACTACGTTTTAAAAAATAAAAGTTTCAAAATAACTATTCGTGCCAGTTCTTGCCACCTCTGCAACCGTTCCGTCATCCTCGGCTCTTTCATGTTATTCATTAAAAACGGTAATTATTGTGTTTGAATCTTGCAGAGAGGATCTTGGGTTATAGATGTGAATGGTTTCGATCATCTTGAACAATAATATTTATTTATAAAAAAAACATTTACAATGAAAGTAGAACATATAGAATAAATATAAATGATCACTGATTGAGATTGAGATCGAACTTCACTTCAGGTAATTTCATTCAATCTTTTAATTATATTCCAACGCCTTGTTGTCAATGATCATAGGTAGACGTTTAAAGAAAAAATTAAACACAATTAGCAAGAACATTTTCATTTCAAACCATTGAACCATCATTTAAACTGTTTTGATTTATTTTAAGTACCCTACATAGCAGAATTATATTACTCGTATTGTAATGACACACTTAATTCTCACGAATTTAAGTACAATCTAACTTATTACTCAAACTGTAGATACATACAAAGAACATTACGAAAATCGAAATTGCAAAGGCAAAATTACCTATAACAGGTCTTTTATAGAATTTGTTAAATGTATCTATCGAATTTTTAAGTCCATCTGGTGTAAATGGCATTGTGCCAATACTACCTCCCAATTTATTTGCAACTTATGTAAAAGCATGACGTGTAAAATGCGAACTGTTAATAGATTGGGAAGTTGTAGGACGTTGTGAAATTTTGTATGTTAGAAAAAAGAGCTTCCATATTATCCCCAAATATTCTTAGTCCTTTCTAAATAGCACTCCAAAACTGTAGATTCACATTAAGATGGATACAATCTGGTCCTTCTTCATTTTAGTCTCTAAATCAATATTAAAAGTTTCCCAAGATATTACATGTAATAGAAATATTATTACAACTAAAGCAGGCTGAAATTTTGGAGGGCATGGTAATAAGAATTTTGACCTAGTGCTGAAACAATAAGATATGTAGAAACTATTCAAAGATTTGCATGGTGTTTTGTACAGACTTGGGAAATGCTATACGTAACCTCTCAGGGGATTGATCCATGGTACAGCCACGGCTTTGCTGCTTTGCTTGCCATAAATAAAAGGCACATTAGGAGGGGGGGAAAACCTAAAGTATGGCCAATTAGTGAAGTCATCCAGATAATTGTAGAGGTTGGACACCTGCTGCGAAAATAGGCAACCACGGGTTTTAAAAAACTTGTGAATGTCAAAAGGAACTGCTAAAATTAACATAAATTTAACATATTTTCTATGGATTTCTAACAAACAAACTTCCTTAAGGTCTATTGGCCCCATAAAACTTTTGGACATTAATTTGATAGCCACTAGTTGTTCTTGATCTTAAAATATATTTGTTTAATATTTTAAGATTAATTATTAGGTAATTAAGGAATTTTTACCATACAGTTTAGATAATAAGGAAAATTAAAAAATGTAATGGAATATGGAATTGATATTTACAGGATTTACAGACCATTTCTTGTTAAATAAGGGTTTTGTGTTTAGGTTTATGCTTAAATGGTGATTTCTAACCTTTTAACCATGATAGGATAGAAAATTGGTTTCATTGTGAAATAAAGGTAACAAATTTTTAAAAACGTTTCCCAATTGATTCCATAGCTGTACACCTACCAGGTGGACAGAGGACGTCAAATAATGAGGGGAAAGTCTTAAGGAGTACTTATTTATTTAATATAAAAATATATAGACAATTCACAAAAATTATAATGTTAATTCTATTATAAAAGTCATAACTTTTTTCAAACAAAGTGTAATGAAGTCAATTTTCATTAATTTTTTTTTTAACTAATTCCGGGTATTAATTTCGATTTTTACTTAATTTTAACTTCGTGGATATGCCCTGTATATCATCAGTTTTGTCGCTGTTCAAACCATCGTCGAGATACTCTACGAACGCGAGTTGTAATGGTGGGGTTTCTGCTGGGAAAGGGAAGCGACGATTGAACCAGCTCGAGGAGTCAATTAAAAATTTGACTTGCTTTTACACCGTTGTACTGAATAGGCGAATAACTAGATTAATCCGATTCGATTCCGATATTGCTCGCGAGAGACAGTCAAAACCGAAACTTATTTCTAGCCGCGATCTTGACGACAGGTAAATTGTTGTCATTGTTTTTATAAATTGATTTTTTTTCTGCTCTAGACTTTAATCCGTGCTATTGGAAACCGATTTATTTTGATTTATTTTTAATTACCAATATTCCGTGTTGAGTTAAGAATTGAAATTTGTTTTGATTGAGAAATACTTTAATTTATTCTTGTTAGAAAACACCGTTCTTTTGGAATTTCATTTTAGTTTATTTAAGGTTTTAACTACTACTGTAAATTTCCGTGGACAAATCGTAAATTTTATTTTAGTTTATTAAAAGGTTTAACCAATAAATAATTGGTCGGAACTGTTTGGGAATTGTCTAATGTTTTGATTGGTTATCTTAATGGAATTGAGACGAGACATTTTCTTTTGTTTTATCCTCCGAACCGCAAATTTTAAGAGAATTTAAATAGCATCATTCCCCTGTCTGAAGCGGCTCGTGATTACGATCACTTCATTCAGAGATAATGTGCTATCCCGGTTATTAATTTATTTTACGAATGGCTCCCTCATTTGCGGAAGTCGCCGTTATTTTAAGTGAACTTAAATAGTATCATTTCCCTGTCTGAAGCGGCTCGTGATTACGATCACTTCATTAAGAGATAATGTACTATCCCGGTTGTTGGTTGGTTTTACTTTCCAACCACTAGTTTGAGTAAACTCCTTATAGAGTCCTGGTTTCAGCCCTGGAATTAGTACTGTCCCGAACCTGTCTCCTCGCATTCTCTGCAACTGCATATGAAATTTTGCTTTGCCGAAGCATTCAATTACATTTGATTGTAAATACCGATTAGACAATTTAAGTTAATTTTTGCTACGACCGAATTAATACTTTCGAACAAAATAGCAAGTTACATGTTTAGCTCAACAACCGAATAGACCGTTCAATAATAAACTTTTGCTGCGACCACGATCACTACAATTATTGATTTTATTTTTTCTTTACGTCTGATTGAGCGCTATTCGGAAGTCATTTCTGGCCGTCTTGTTTGTTTATTTTTGTTTAGGGTTTGTACATATTACCGTGAGGGTGGGCGTTGAAATGTATTAATTTATTTTTTTTGTTGTTGTAAATAGTTCAAAACAATATATGTGTCAATGTTAACTTGCCGTATTACTGGTTATTAATTCCTTACTTTATTTCCCCCTTGTATTTCAGCTAGTGATAAATTCTGTACCAGCCCAAGCAACGATTAAAGCCCGTTACTTGTGGTCTACTATTACCTGTGTCTAAGTGACCTTTGACCCCTGGAATTTTTCATCTCCATCTGTAGCTACCCGAGTACTTTTGACGCCGTTTCGAGTTTGTAGAGTAAACCATAACCAAAAATCTGGCGCTCGAGAACCGCCCGTAACCACAGCGACATTCGTAAGGAACCGTTTTCTCTGTGGCGAGAAAACCCCTTACACAAGGTTACACAAAACGAAAATAAAGTACATTAACAATACGGAGTACCAGTAACTTGAGTCACTAATACTCAATTCCCAACATGCTCCCACCTTAAGTCATGGAGGACATCGCATCATATGACCTAACCTGTCAGGCCGTTTAACTTGTCTTCCACTTCGTGTGATGACGGATTATTCTTTTTGAAGTTTATTTTCGTCATTACTGATAAAATTTTGGGACTGACTTCCTCCAATTTCTTGATTTCAACAAAGATCTTTAGCAAGCTCGAGATTTAAAAAAAACCCTTTTCAGTTTTTAATCTTACTAGTCTAATTTGACCATCTTTTCTAGGAATTAATTCAATAATATTTCCTAGTAGCGCTTGCTATTACCGCTTCCGATAAATACTATATCTTCTTCTTTGATTTTCTGTATATTAAATTTACTTTTCTGTAAATTCAGTCGTTCTTTTCTGAAACGACTTCTAAGAATTTCTCGCAATTTAATTCGGTATCAATATCTTCTTTTTAAATCTATTGCTTCCGCAGCATCTACATCCGGCATACCGATTTCTTTTATGTCTTGTAAAAATAGCTGGAGTAAGACTGATCAAATCTTAATTATTTTCCGAAATATAAGGAATTGATGACTACTTCACAAGCACATAATAAAGTGAAAAGTTCTTTGTATCTCAATGAAGCTTTTCCCAATACCTTCTTAAGTAAATCCTTCAACATCCTTATTAATCTTTCCCACCGTCCTCTCCACCAAGGGATCTCTTCTATAATCTTCTTCTCATCTAACCATTCTTTAAACACATAGAAGTAATTTTGGTAGTATACTTCTCTCTCTAACCTCTTCTTTAAATTTTCTACTCGATTTTTTGCCAAATAAAAATTACTAAGTAGTGGTATATGATCTGATAACCACGGCCAACTTACTTTGTAACGACCGTCATTAAGTCTAGTAATATTTTCCAACAAATCTTGTAATATGGCCTCTTCTATTTCTTTTCTTCTTTTCTCGATGGCTGGATCAGTTATGCCTAATATATCTAATTCCCATAGGTCAGCCACGGTTGTCTCTTTACTGTAAATAGACGTAACGAATAAAGAAGGACAAAAGTTTTAATTTGTAGGAGTTTTGCCCATTAATAACCAATCTAACTTGGTTTCTAAGGCAATTAGACTACTTGCTAAAATGTGTCGTCTGCCAGTAAGCAACTTTCCCGTAACGTCAGCGCCTATAAGAATTTTTGTAGGACCGTCACAATTATTAGACACATCTATATCTAGGTTTTTTTAATTCACTCATCCATGAACCATTACGATTAAATGAAACGTTGCCACAAATGACCTCTTAATCAAGGACATTAAAAGTACAGGTATAATCATTGAGCAGAATCTGTAACATGGCTTTAAAACAGCTATGGATAACAGGATTAGATTGAAAACCACCAAATAATTTAAGTATTAGCTCTTCTGTTTTTAAAACTTTGTAACCAATATATAAAACCGTTTGTTTCAATATGTAAGATCTTTGTGAGCCTGTATCAATGAGTGCTCGCACCTTTCGTGAAATATTGTTCCCATGTAATCTAACAGCTAGTGTTTGTAAAAATACTTGATTGTATGTTTGATTTGAAAAGTTTGCAACTATGGAATTTTAAGGAATATTCTTATTCTCTTCAGGACACATTAACGTTACACGTTTCCCCTTACATGTACTGCACTCTAATTTGGCCGCGGATCTGCACTTTCTTAACAACAACCTTTTCAAAAAGATATTTTCTTTCTTTCTGAAAATGTCATTTGGACTGTTTCGTCACATTGGTTATTGGCATGTTCTTTTTTAAAAAATATACAGCGGTGTTTATTTTGATTCAATAGACCAGAAGCAGTAGGTATTTTCTTTACAACCTTCAACTTTTTTACTTTTATTAAGATCGAAACTTGATGTTGCTAATAAAAACCTTTCTTTATTCTTCGCCTTTTAAAAATTTCATGATATTTTCCAACTTTGTTTGAAAAGTATTCTTTGAATAAAATGATTCACTTTTCTGCCAGACACGTAGAAGATCTTTTGAAAGACAGGACTCAATTAGTGGATAATTTTTTTATTTATTTTATTCAAGGATTTAAATGTACCTCCAAGGGTCTTCATAGTTTCTTGAACCGTAAACATATCTGGTTCATCTCTATTGAATTCCATCTGAACTTCTTTGAAATGTCTCTTAAATGAGTTGCTATACATATCTTTCTCCTTTAGAAGCCTCTCCATCTTAGTATTCTTCTGAATGTCTCAAAGTTGCAGATTCAAAAAATATCACGTCGGCGTCACCAATTGTTGTGCTTGTACACCTACCAGGTGGATATAGAACGTCAAATAATGAGGGGAAAGACTTGAGGAGTACTTATTTATTTAATATAAAAATATAATGTAATGTGAGCCATTTCATTATTCAGTCAAGCTCTAATCCTCCAAGTCCTTCTCTGTCTTATTTGGACAAGTTGAGCCTCAAAGGCCAAATAAGACAGAGACGGACTTAAAGAATTAGAACTTGACTGAATAATGAAATGGCTCACATTACATTATATACAATTCACAAAAATTATAATGTCAATTAATTTGCGTCACTAATACTCAATTCCCAACAGCCGTGATAATCTTGGGTTAATCTTGGGTAGACCTAAAAGCTTACAATTTATTACTTCCAAATATATCTTCCATAACTTTGTTCAATTATCTACCTCCAAACCTTTTTTAATTAATTGATCCCACTGTATAGCTAGATCTTTACGAATATCTTGTGACAATTCCTTTGGACATGCCACCAGAGTTAAGTTTTGGTATGAGCACTTTTGCTACCATCTTCCAAACATAAATTTTTCTCTTACTAACGACCTTTTTTAACGTAACCCATGTTTTGACAGTTGTAAAGTTCTACCTACAGCAGTTGTTAGAGTTGTAACAGTACAAGATACAATTTGCAAATAATTTTTAGGACAAACTATAACTGGAATCTACGAAATTCAGCCGAACAGTACCCTCAAACCTATCTTTGTTCTGTGCGATATGGAAACCAGAGATGGAGGATGGACTGTTATTCAAAAAAGATTTGATGGATCAGAAGATTTTGATCGAAATTGGCGAGACTACAAATTTGGTTTTGGAAATCTTAAAAGAGAACTTTGGATTGGTCTTGAAAACATGTATCAAATTACCGGTTTGTGTTTTTTTGCGTAAAATAAATTTTCATAGTAAAATTATTTTTAATGTAAATAAAATTGTACATGAATTAATTTTCCAAAAATTTTTATATTTTTACTTTCACTTCTAGCCTTTGAAGCAAGTGAATTATTAATAGAAATAACTGACAGGGACCAAATTAAAGCATTTGCCCACTATAAAGGATTTGGAATAGGATCGGAACCAGAAGGATATGTACTGAACGTCCTTAATGGATTTAGTGGTGATGCTGGAGACTCCTTAACAGAACACCATTTTAAAAATAAATTTACCACCAAGGATTTGGATCAGGATAAACACCCAAATAATTGTGCTGTGCTATTTAGTGAGTATAAAATCAGCGTCTTCTTTTTCTTCTTCTTGTTTAAAAATATTGCATTTATTCTTTATGAAACCACAAATGTTTAGTTTGTAGTCAGTATCATTTGGCTTCAACCTTACATCCCCATTAGTACGAAAAGAATAATACATCTCATGACAGTTAAAGTAAAGTTTGTTTTGGTTCCAATTTGAGAACCGTTCTGACATGCGCAGTGATTTAAAAATGTTTTGGGTAAATTCGAATCAGTTCAGAACCGAAGGAGACGTAAAATTTTGTGGTTTGGTTCACTCATGGAATTATTTTAGAACTATTCTAGAACAGTTTAAACAATTTTTATTTGTAGGCAAGAATTATTTTAGAAATTTTAGTTCGAGCATGCGTATAGTGAAGGAAGCTATGAACCGACAACTGACAACCAATTATTGATTTATTTCATTATGTTTTGAGCCGTTGATGTTGAGGTTTGAGATTTAAGATTGTGTTTTATTGGTTATTTTACGTTTGTGTTTTTATTAGTACTTATTAACTTAAAAAAACATGTTAATATTTATAACAGAAACGCATGTATTCATATTACCATTATTAATGATAGGATGACTTAATAATTTTTATTTAATTTATATGCACTATTTTAAAAATGTAGGAAACAAAAAATAAAAGATATAAGTAAAAGTAATAAGAAACGAACAAAAGATATAAGTAAAACAAGAATCGAACAAAAGATATAAGTAAAAACATGAATAGAAGTAAAAGCATTGTATAAGAATCGAAAAGAAGGCATGAAATGAAATATGACGTGTACAACCCTTTGGTAATATTAGCAACAAAAAAACAATGGCAAATTACAGTTTTGCAAACAATATTTTTATGTAGTTCACAGAATTAACAAGAATTGTTGGCTTCTGTCCTCAATAATAAAAGGCTATAGTAAGAACAAATGCGAAAAAAAGAAGAAAAGCAAAAGGGTTTTGGTTCTTAGTTTCTTGAATCGATTCTGAATCAGTTTTATTATATTTGTCACTGCGCAACTTGATCTGCGTAGTTCTAGTAAAATTCTCAAACCATTCTAATTTCGGAACTAAAACAAACCTGTAGTTTCGGGATATATTGCGATATGACAAGCGTCCCCTCCAATTCTTTTTCGAACCTCGTGTGTTGTTTCCCACTCCGACGCATTCTGGGTGGAGTTGGCGCAATATTTCCCGAAACTACTCTACATGATACATTATCGTCACAGATCTTTTAGTTTTGGTAAGGAAAAAGGTCTCTTGTCTGTAGGTCACTGGTTATAGGGATGTTATTATTTCATGCGAAATTCAGGTTAATGTCCATTTTAGTAAGATTTTGGTTAATTTTGTAGGTAGTGGTTGGTGGTTTAACAATTGCCATGTTGCCAATTTGAATGGAAAATACTTAAACATACAAGCTCCTGTTGCATTTACGGGTCTTCATTGGAGGGATTTTAGAGGACAACCGTACAGCCATGCCGGATCAAGGATGTTGGTTAGACCAGTTCGGCCATAATTTACTGCAGGACATTTTCAAAATAGTGTTGTTATTTCTATTATTACTATATGAGAGCAAAATGATACACATATTTTAAATATTAAATGTATATTTTACTATTTTTTAACTTTATTTTTGTCTTACATATTGATTTTTGTATACATAAGTAACTAGGTACACTAGGAATATTGGAAAAATACCAAGCAAAAAGAAGACACTTTAGAGTTATTTTAAGCTTCCGAAAATTTTATTGTTTCATCATCAGGAAAGCTACAATGCAAAATTGAATATGTAAGTAATTGAATTTAAAACAATTTTCAATTACTTACATCTCTGTGAGCTTTGAAAATGGTTTACATTGATGAGCCTGTAAAGATGTTAGAACACAGAGAATTTTAAGGCACTTCTTTATAAGCTTACCATGACATACTTCGTAACAGCGTTGTGGTTACTCTGATGACGTCAGACATACCGTGGCAACTCGTAGCACTTGTCGTCATTTGGTTTTTGTTCTTTTGTTATTTATTTAAATATGTCTCTTCCAACAAAAGGAAGAAAAAAAAATTAATAAGTGTTATTTGTGATGAAATAACAATGATAAATACTTGTGCCAGTAGTCTCATATTTTCATCTTTATATTTCAATATAAATAACAATATCCAGTGGTCATCAACATCGCTCTCGTGAAGAGTTATTTCAGTGCCCTGTATTTCAAATGTAATTTCTTTCATAGTAAATAGAGTTTTCTTTGGTAAATACAAAAATGCCCAACCCAAATATACAAAATGAACCATATAACCCATAACCACAGAAAAATGTATCTAATTTAATCTCTTTACAATACTTTGCGCATGCTCGATATGTTCAAATGTGGACCTTACTGACCTTACCACACACCTTACCACTAAAAACATCATGGTTAGTAGTAGTTACGTATTTTGGTAACGTATGAGGTCATGGAAGTAACCAAACCGTTTAAAGAATTGCTTTGGTTACATAAGTATGTTCTAGTAAGTTATGGTAAGCTTAAAAAGAAATGCCTTTAGTTTAAATTTCGGACTCCAACTCTTTGAAAAGTCAACAGGAATGCGTTTAGAAACCTCGCACGGCGCGTCTGGAACCTATTCTAATGTATGTGGTCAGATATGCCGTGCGAGGTTTCTAAACGCACTCCTGATGACATCTGTCAGTTGTGAACGACGATATGATAAGTGGGGGATGTTCGACATTAGCAATTAAATTTTGAAAATTCAGGCATATACAATAAGAAAGTGGTAAAATAAATAATAGAGTCCATTTTACGGTAGGGGGCTACTTTTGAAAGGTACTTAAAGGCTGTTTGTCACGACACTCAATTAAGTACTAAACTTAGGACTAAATTAAGTCATTAATTTAAATACTAAGTTAAGAACTTAAAATATTATTCGCTAAAGTTTTCTGTCTGCAACGTTACCAATTTTCAGTACTAAATTACTGAGATGCGGCCTCACAATTGCATTCGTCCGAAAGTGCAAAAAAAAATTTCATCTGGTCGTCTGTGTGTATGTATGCCGGCACGATAACTCTAGCACGAAAGTTCTGATTGACTTGCGGTTTTGATTTTCTTGAATAATCTTCTAACTTAGAACCCTATTGATTTTCGGTTCATCCTAACTACTTTAATATCAATTTTCTTAAAATCCGCCTATGCATTTCTTATGTGACAATTTTAGGAATTCCAATTATTTCCAACGTCAACATTCATAACATTCTTAACATTCTATAAATTGCAAACATTCTCTAACGACCTGTCAAACAACAGCTGTTGATAGTTAAAGGTGAAATTTCTAAGTAGGGTTGCGACCTTCATACTTGCAACCATAGCCATTTTGGAGGCTATTTTTATTCGAAATTAGTCGCCAAGCCTGCCAATTTATGAAAAATGTATAAGCAGTTTCTTAAAAATGACTTTTTTATAGTGGTGCTAACTTAAGCGTACTACTATTTCGCCCCCAGCCACAAAAACACCTTCATCAAATTTACTGGCTCTCTGTCGCAACCCCATAGAATAATTAACCGGCCATTTTATTTGGCAAAAATCAGAATAATGCTTGGCTATGCCTGTCAAATATCAAGATGCCAACTGTGATGTGTAAATGGCTCTTAAATGTCAAATTATTTAAAAATGTATACTTCTTTTGATATTTATTGCAAATAATTTGTATTGTATCTCAATTCAGGGTTTCCATAAATATAGGTACAGCAAGACAGATAATATAATTTTCTTATACAAAGCACTTTTTTATTATATAAAAGGGAGGTAGGATATAATGCTGGTTTTTTGTTGATAATTTTAATTTTACGATTTTGGATTACATATTCAACCAGCGAATTGTAAATAATAATTAGTAAACTCCTAGTCATACATTTCCTCAATTCATAAAATTTAAAAATGAATCTTCTTACCTTGGGATTTTAATAACGTACCTAATGTGATCAACCCATTTCAAATTTTGATCAATTATGACACCGAGGTATTTTGTTACATTTTTCATTTTAATTTTATAATTGTTATTTATTTGTATGTTGAAAGAAGGCATTTGTAAATTACATTGCTCTCTATGGATCTACTTTAACACAAAAATAGTTTTGTAGCTATAAGTTGCTATGACCTATCGTCGTAAAACTATTTATAATGTAAACACAGTAGTATTATTATAACATCAAGTAATTTTTTGAAATAAAGATCATGATTTCAAAACAGAAATAATGGATAATAAATGTGGGTAAAACAAGTGGTGAAATAACAATAAATTAAAGGAAATACTTAAAAATGGCAGGTTTAAAGAGTATTATCACAAGAAAGTATATTCGTTTTGTTTATTTATCAAGTATTGTTTGAGGTTACTTTTGAATACATTTGTTGTTGTTTTTTTTATTTCTGTAGGCAGTCTATTAAATTTTTTAAACCTATAATAAAAATTGTATTTAGGGAACTTTTAGTGATGGCTTGCCGTACATGAAAGTCAGATTGGCTTCTTGTATTATAGTTGTGATATTGCGAATTAAATGCAATTTTTTCTAATAGATCTCATGCGATGGTACTATGTCACTTTTATTTTATAAATAAATATCAGTCATGTACTGAACATAATTCTGAACTGAAAGCCAATTTATTTCTTTTAACATAGTTGCAATACTCATCCTTCTGTCCTTTATTAACAGAATATAAATAGGCGAAGTAAGGAGCCCAAATATTTTACATGGGCAAGTTTAAGAGGTAAAGGGGCCAATTATTATTGGATAAATTGCTAAAACCAGTTTATAAACCCTAATCAAAAGGCGATGTAGAATGCTTTTAAAAATCAAGGCTTGTGAAAATCATCACATGGTTTAACCTAAGTAATGCCAATGCTTCACAAACCAAAAAATTCAACGTCCTAATTCTACTATCGGCTTTCGGTCTTTCGTTCCAAGTTAAATCATTTCTCGTTTTTGTTACGCTACTAGTTTACCCTTGTGGGCATCAGTCTCGATAAGGTGGGGACCACCATTTTAGCGTCTCTCAAATTAAGTATACGCGCATACTCAATTTCTATCATTCGAGGTAGGTTATTTATTATTATTATTATTATTATTATTATTATTATTATTATTATTATTATTATTATTATTATTATTATTATTATTATTATTATTATTATTATTATTATTATTATTATTATTATTATTATTATTATTATTATTATTATTATTATTATTATTATTATTATTATTATTATTATTATTATTATTATTATTATTATTATTATTATTATTATTATTATTATTATTATTATTATTATTATTATTATTATTATTATTATTATTATTATTATTATTATTATTATTATTATTATTATTATTATTATTATTATTATTATTATTATTATTATTATTATTATTATTATTATTATTATTATTATTATTATTATTATTATTATTATTATTATTATTATTATTATTATTATTATTATTATTATTATTATTATTATTATTATTATTATTATTATTATTATTATTATTATTATTATTATTATTATTATTATTATTATTATTATTATTATTATTATTATTATTATTATTATTATTATTATTATTATTATTATTATTATTATTATTATTATTATTATTATTATTATTATTATTATTATTATTATTATTATTATTATTATTATTATTATTATTATTATTATTATTATTATTATTATTATTATTATTATTATTATTATTATTATTATTATTATTATTATTATTATTATTATTATTATTATTATTATTATTATTATTATTATTATTATTATTATTATTATTATTATTATTATTATTATTATTATTATTATTATTATTATTATTATTATTATTATTATTATTATTATTATTATTATTATTATTATTATTATTATTATTATTATTATTATTATTATTATTATTATTATTATTATTATTATTATTATTATTATTATTATTATTATTATTATTATTATTATTATTATTATTATTATTATTATTATTATTATTATTATTATTATTATTATTATTATTATTATTATTATTATTATTATTATTATTATTATTATTATTATTATTATTATTATTATTATTATTATTATTATTATTATTATTATTATTATTATTATTATTATTATTATTATTATTATTATTATTATTATTATTATTATTATTATTATTATTATTATTATTATTATTATTATTATTATTATTATTATTATTATTATTATTATTATTATTATTATTATTATTATTATTATTATTATTATTATTATTATTATTATTATTATTATTATTATTATTATTATTATTATTATTATTATTATTATTATTATTATTATTATTATTATTATTATTATTATTATTATTATTATTATTATTATTATTATTATTATTATTATTATTATTATTATTATTATTATTATTATTATTATTATTATTATTATTATTATTATTATTATTATTATTATTATTATTATTATTATTATTATTATTATTATTATTATTATTATTATTATTATTATTATTATTATTATTATTATTATTA